TCACCACGTGGGTCCACTTGATGAGTGGAAGTTGGGGAGAATGCAACAATGAAGAAATGAGTTGAGAGAAGAGGAAAGGCTGGCTGGTTTGGAGTTTAAGGAATAATGTGAACTCCTAAGCCTATGACCATCAACCTAGTCCATTATGGAGGTTAACACTGAAAGAGATCTTGCTGAGAGGGCAGCTGGTCTAACGTGCAAGGGGGTGTATGTGGACCCCAACTTGCAGCTGGTTCCCATTTGACCTAGCTAGAATTGCTAGAGCTGAATTGACCCAAACTCGACCTAATCAAGAGAGATGTTGGAGCTGGTTTAAATACTGCAATTTTGATGGCTTCCTCTGGCCTGGACTTTGCTTATGGATGTAGATGCCCACAGCCGAACAGGTACAGAAGATTTTTCATAGCAAAATCATTTAGCACATGATTGTCTCCATAGTACTTGATTGATGTTGTTGTTAAGTGCTGGCGAGTCGATTCCGATTTACAGTGACCCTGTCCAGGGTTTCCAAGGGGTAGCTGGTGAGTTTTAACTGCCAATCTTGTGGTTCAAACCAACCTTGTGGTCCACTGTTTTATCCCACAGCGCCACACCAAGACTCCATTAGGTTGACAGGGTGGGGCAATGGCATAGTTGTTATGAGTTGCGCTGCTGACCTCAAGGTAAGCAGTTTAAAACTACCAACCGTTCTGCAGGACAACAATGAGGCTTTCTACTCCTATAAAGATTTACAGGGTCGCTATGAGTCAGAACCGACTTCACAGCACACCATCACCACCACCATCGCCACATCTAAAATGGAGGGAGACAAAGGCATGAAGTAGCTGGCTTATGAGATTTCCTGGGTGTTTTCAGTTTAAGTGATTGCTATGGGAAAAGTTAATCCATTAGGCATGAAAGGGACAATGGCTAGAAGAAGCAAGGGGTGGTCTGTAATATAATGAATTATTTAATGCCTTTTTTAGCCATTGTTGTTGTTGTTAATTGCTGTCGAGTCCATTCCAACTCATAGTGACCCTGCCTAGGGTTTCTGAGGAGTGGGTGGTGAGTTTGAACTACCGACATTGCAGCTCAAACCAATCGTGTGGTCCAGTGCATTATCCTGAAGCGCCATAGCAGGACTAGTCTTTGAAAGCTCCCACTAAACAACTTTGTCCTGTGAGTAAGGGAAGGTAGGGGGAAGATGCTAATGGGTTGTATGATTCACAAGTAGAGCTGAGTGACTTGCAGAATGGGCTATCTTTAGGTCATTATTGGGGGACATAGGTTAGCTGACCCACTGAGCTAGAGCCCAGTGTGTTCAGGCTGAGGCTAATGATGGTGCGTCCTGTGAGCATTCATCAGCAGCCCTCAAAGAGCTCTGTCCCATCGACTGGACAGAGGAAGGCCTGCCAGTGGGCATGGCTGAGGAGAGGCTGTGTAGACTGGAAGACTTGTGTCCAGAGAATTTTCTGATCCTGCATTATACTATGTCAAGTTCCCTATTAAACTCCATAACTGTGTGCATGGTGTTTTGAGTTCTGTGTTTCCATTGCAAGGAATGATGGAGCTCAGCTAGGGCTGTGGGAGGAATGGGTGTTGGGGGTATGCCGTGGAGTCGATCCGACTCGTAGTGACCTTGAATGGGTTTCTGAGGCTATAAATCTTTACGGGAGCAGACAGCCTCATCTTTCTCCCATGGAACATGCTGGTAGTTTCGAACTGCTGACCTTAAGGTTCTCAGCCCGGTTCATAACCAGTAAGCTACCAGAGCTCCTGATGGGAGGAATGGAGTGGGAGGAATGGGTAGTTCTTTTTTTTTTTTTTCAGATGGGTGGATCATAACTCCCACCTCTGGGCTGGTCTGGAGGAAGAGATGGCTCTTGCTGAGTGCTGGTCATTATCATTATGATATTCCTACTTGATGTTTACAAATCAAACTCTGTACCAAGCTGGGCTGAGAACGTCTGGGATAGTCCTGAAAGGGAGCAGTGATCCTTTTAAGAACTAATCACAGGCAGGTGTCCTGTAAAATCACCTTCCCCTGCTGGAGTGTTGTGCTGAATGAAGGGAAGGGGACCAGGGGACGTCCCTGAACTGGTCAGCAGCTGCTTTCTCTGCCTCTGCTCCAGTCACTCCAAGATTTCCCCTCCCTCCTGGGTGCCTGGGTCTCCTCCCTACACTCTCCCCACCCCCCCCACCTCCCACCCCAGGCTGTTCAGGAGACTTACGGAAGATTCCACCCACTTGTTACTCCCCTGCACAGTCTTCATGGTCCCTGGGTCTGGATTTTGGGTACCCTGCTCAGCTCTGCTCATCTTTTAGGCCTCTGTTCTGCCTCCCCAGAGTACCTTGCGCAGTTTCCCAGAAAGGCCTTGTGCCATCACACCTCTTTGCGTTTCTTTGTTTATTCCATGCTTCCTTCCTGGAGTAGCTTTCTCCATCTTTACCTAACTCTGAGACCTCTGGGAGTCCCTGGGTTAACACACCTCTGTCTGTTGGTTGAAAGGCTGGAGGTTTGAGTACACCAGAGGTACCTCAGAAGAAAGGTCTGCAGACCTATAGATGGCTTACCAGTCATTGAAACCACAGTTCTCCTTTGACACATAGGATCGTCAGGAGTTGGAATTGACTTGATGAAAACTACCCTAAAGACTTTAAGAGTAGGGTCTTAAGTGTTCTTCTTCTCTGTCCTTTAGTTCCCTCCCTCCCTAGAGTCTGGTCTATGTCTGTTTTCCATTGTTCTAGACTCTGAGTTTCATGCCTTCTGGTTAAGCCATGGGTTTTGGATTCAGGGAAATCCCAGCCAATCCTGACTAAGTGACCAGGAGCAAGTCTCTGGATGTCTGTGTACCCTCATCTAGAGAGGGAATGATGGCAGGGCTGCTTCTTAAGGTTTTTTGCCGGGGTAAAAAATAGTGTGTGCAGGCAAAATACTTGGGACACAGGAAGTGCCCGGACACTGTGGCTACTTTAATAAGTGCCATTAGTATCCCAGGAGTCCTGGTGTGGCGCTGTGGCCTAATGCGTCAGACTGCAAGGTTGGTGGTTCAAGCTCACCAGCTGCTCCTTGGAAACCCCATACAGGGTCGCTATGGGTCAGAATCTGCTTGATGACACTTAACAACAACACTATTATTATCCCAGTGCCTGACCTGGAAAGGAATCTTCATGGCACAGTGGTTAAAGTGCTAAGCTGCTATATGAAAGGCCGGTGGTTCAAACTCACCATTTACTGCATGGGAGAAAGATGTCTGCCTCCATGAACATTTACAGCATTGGAAACCCTGTGGGGCAGTTCTCCTCTCAGCCATGGGGTTACCAGTCAGTATTCACTAGATAGCAGTGGATTTGGTTTTGAGGTACGCCTGGTCTCAGACCAGCATACAGCAGGCGCTCAATAAAAGTTTGAATAACTGACCTAACTACTCTTCTCACTGGCCTAGGGGCTTCTTGGTGACGTTAGGCTGGCGCCTGTGTCTATATCACAAGGCGGGGTCATAGGTTTGTCGCATTCTTGCTTTAGGTATTTTCACCAAGACTATTTCTGTTCAGACCTTGAGGGAATTGTCCAAATATGTGGGAGCGTCATGGAGTCTTCTTCCCCAGGGCCTGAAGGGGAGAACATTCCTGATCATCTCCTGGGCTGCCTGGCCAGAGTCTTTCCTGCCTTCCACCCCAGGCCCAACCCCGGTCTCCTCAGGGAGAGAGACAGCTCCATCTTGTCTGTAGTTGGGAGAGAAAATGGCGGACAAGGCCGACGTAGTGCGTCAAGGATGCACCTCAACACACGCTTCACAAGGTCCTTGGTTCATTGCGTGACACTTTCATGTAACAAAAAGGACAATCTGGGGTTTGACGGTGTGAACTGCAAAAGTGTGTGGGTGTGGGAGAGGCAGCTGAGGCGCTGAGGTGGCTGAGGGGCCGCTCCCGCAGGAACGAGGGGAACAAGGGGCGTCCCCCTTTGTAGTGATGACACCAGAGCAGGATCAGGCACAAAAGGCGTGCGAACCTTGCTCTCATAGGAACCCTGTGCTGGGAGTGGGGACCCAGTGAAAGACCCTCATCCTTCGGGTGGAGGAGGCAGGCCCTCTGGTATCTGGATCCGTGGAGGGTCCCACAGAGGCTGTGTATCCAAGGAGAATAAAGGGGGAGCGGTCACTTGGGGGGGACCCCAAGGCCCCAAACCAGGAAGGCGGGTGCCGTGAGCGAAATTAACCCGGAGAGCTAAGGGGACGTTCTCGATGGCAGGCATCAGTTGGTCCCCGGCCTCATAAGGTGGACACCGGGGCCGAGGAGGGGGCTTCTGGACTCCCGCTCCCCCCAGCCCCGCCACCCTGCCCACACAGGTCTGGGCACCGACGGGGGCGCGGCGCGCGTGACGTCAGCCAGCGCCCCGCCCCCCGCATTCCAGGCCCGGCCCTGCCCCGGGCCTGTCGGGGCTCGCCGCCTACCCCCTCCTCCGGGATCGGCCCTCCTGCCGGCCCGCCCGGTCCGCACCCGCCCGCCCTCCTGGCCCGGCCTCCACCCGCACGGGGTTCGGTGGCTGTGGCTCCACTACCCGCAGCCGCCGCCGTTGCCGCCATTGACGTCAGAGGGGCGGGCACATGACTCCGCGGGGACCAATCGCTGCGCGACCGAGCGGCTTCTGCAATCTCTCAAGCTAGCCGGCCCCCGCCCCCCGCCGCGGCCCCCGCCCGACACACTCTCTCTCGGGACGGAAGCACAGACACACGTACTGTACACACGGGCCGGCGAAGGACAGGCGCGCGGCGGCCGCACCGAGACACGCCTGCGCCTCCCGCGCCCCCGGCCCCCCTTCGCCCGCTCGTCCGTCCCTCTGTCCGTCAGTCCCTCCGAGTCCGAGCCCCCGCGGCGAGCATGCACCCCACCAACTAGGAGGAAGCCGGCCGCCCGCACCCAGCGCCGCCCGGCCGCCTCCCTCCACTGCAAGGCGCCCCCAGCCCCACACCCCCCCACCTTCCCGGGGTGGGGGGGTGCGGGCCATCGCCTCCGGGGGCCCCGCCGCCGCAGACGCCCAGGACAGCCCCCTTTCCCCGCCCCCCGCCCGCACCCTCCGGCCAGGCCATGGATCTGACCAGCAGCTCTGGCGGCGGCGATCCCAGGCAGATCGAAGAGACCAAGCCACTGCTGGGGGGCGACATGTCGGCCCCCGAAAGCACGAAGATGGGCGCTGTGCCGTGCCGCCGGACCCTGGTGTTGTGCAACGGCATGAGGTACAAACTGCTGCAAGAGGGCGACATCCAGGTGTGTGTCATCCGGCACCCGCGGACCTTTCTCAGCAAGATCCTCACCTCCAAGTTCCTGAGGCGCTGGGAGCCCCACCACCTAACGCTGGCCGACAACAGCCTGGCGTCCGCCACGGTGAGTGGACGCGCGGCCCGAGGGGCGCCCCCACCGGCTGCCCCCTGCGCTGCACCCTGAGCTGGGGGGGGGCACCCCTGGAACCCCACCCCTGGTGCGCCGTAGCTGGGCCCTGGTGGAGGTGGGGGGTTCCCTTTCTGGATCTGAGCTGGAGAGGAAAACAAAACAGCCAAGGGGGTGAGGGCGGGGTGGGGTGGGGGGAACCCTACAAACCCCAAGAATTTACAGAAACCAATCTCTTTCTTTGGTGTCCCCGGGTTTGATTCTGTTTTCTTGCCCCGGCTCGGCTCGACTCTCGGCTCACCCCGGCTCGGCTCGGCTCGCAGGCAGAACTGCGTGCTTCCCTTTCTGAATGGCTCATCCGCCCATTGGAGAGCTTGAAACTGAAGGGGGTCAGGCAAGGGTGTCCTGGAATCTCTCCCCCAGCACCAGGGGTGGTCCAGTTGGATGTTGGAAGCCGCTTTCTAGATCTGGGCTTGCATTGTCTGCGGCAGCATGTGTGTGTACGTGTGTTTTGTTGCTGGCGGTTTTAATTTGTTATTGTTTTTAAGTCCATGGCTGGCTAAGACTGGGTCAACTGGGTGAGGCAGGAGAGAAACCATTGATAATATTTCTGAAACCAAAGCTGCAAATGGTGGCTTTCTTCGTGGTCCAAGGAGGGAGACGACTCTATTGGGGTCTGTGGATGGGGGGTGGCGGCTAGGAACGTGAACAGGATGCTTTGTGTTTTGAAACAAGGACAGTTAAAAACAGGACTCCAGCTTGGGCCTGCGCCTAGCTGTGGGTGTCCCATCTTCACTGGTTCTGTGGTCAGTGCTTCCCCAGAATGCACAGAGTACCCCCCTGGGGCCACAGTGGACCTGTTTACTGAGCACAGTGGGATGGGGGCAGGAGCCAATGCCTGCCCACACCTGTGCCAAGAAAACCCAGCCAGGAAGCCGAGTGTGAGTGTCGCTTCCATGGTGTGTCACAGACGTGTAGCGTGTGGAGACATTTCCCCCGGCATCCATGTTCCCCTGGCTGTGTGACAGACACAGGCGCCCAGGAATGGGGAGGGGGGGAAAGTTAGCCCCACCCCTGAGAAAACCAAAGGCTCACCCGGACTTTTATTCTGAATGTTGGGCCCAGACGTGTTCTGAACGCCTACCCCCACCCCCTCAGGGCAAATTGGTGCACTAGCTGCAAAGCCATCTTTGCTGGGGAAGCTGGCTGGGGGCCTTGAGGCAGGCCATCCTGGCTTCCTGAGGGTGCGGGTGTGAAACCAGGTGGGCCCCAGTCCGGTTGGCTTTGAAGCCTGTGGAGGGAAATTCACCAGCACAGAGGCCTGTTTCAGATGGGGGTGGGTGTGAGGATAAGGAGCTCTGTCGTTGTTTGCTGGGCATCTGGAGTCCCTACCACTGCCTTGGGTGTCACCTGACTGGGGGCTTTTTTCATTTTGTTTTTTTAATTTCCGACACTCCTCAACCTGAAGGGGAACTGGGGAGGGGAGTAAAATGGCTGAGAGGCACAGTGACCGGCTACTCCCCTCCCCAGAAGCCAGTAGTGTCTTCAGACTACTGATGCCCCTGATCTGGGAGGGGTGTGGGGGGGAGCTTGCTTTGGAGGCGAAAGGCCCCCTAGCTTAACCGCTGATTGCTTAAGAGGTGTGGAGGTGTGTGTGAGAGGAAGGAAGTCACGACTACAGCTGGGGGACTGGTTTCTCAAGCCGCCAGAGGCCCCCCACCCCACCTTTACCATGAGAGGTGGCTGGCACATTTGGGCCACTCGGGCCTTTGTGGAGAGCAGCTGTTAGCTGTAGGACAGGAACAGACTCAAGCGTTAGGAAAGAGGAAAGCGTTGGGAAGGAGGAACTCGGGGAAGTATCCACTGAGCTGACTTAACCCCTTGTTGTTGCCCGGCATCACCGTGTTCAGAAGGCAGGCGGTGTCCATGAAGTGGTGGGCTCTGGTGGGGTGCACAGCTTTCCTTGCCAGGCATGTGAATGTGGAGGTGTGGCCTCGAGGGCAGGCCAGCCAGCTGGGCAGTGGACGGGTTGAGGCTGCCACCCCAGAACATAGTCCATCATGAGACACGGTGGGGTTGGGTCAGTGTCCCACCCCTAGAAGCACAGGGGCCCTTGTGGGGTTTCCCTGTGGCCTGACCATTATGTAATCTGTCTGCATATTAAAGTGCTGCCCAAACCCTCTTTTGAGACATATTAGCCGGAGTGAAACAAAGGTGAGTACGTGCATAGTCCACTACACCAAAAATCTGTCAGCCCTTGAGACTCTGGGATAGCTGGCAGCCCAGCTGGAGTCGCTGATAGATGAGGTGTGTTCCCTCTCAGGACATCTCCTGCTGGACCCCGGCTGTCCATCTTCTAAGCCATCTACACAGCCCAACTACTCAGTCCATTGTAAGGGTTTCAGGAGTAAGACCCAGAGTGAGTGATTTGGATCCAGACCAATGAACACACCAGACACACACGCTTTGTGCTCACATACTCTGCAGAGTCTGTCTACACTGATGCTGTTAACTGGATTGTTGTGAGAAATAAAGACCAGGCTCCCAAGACCATAGCTGAATGGGGCCAGGCCCAAGCTGGGCACACCCAGCGGGTGGGCTTTCTTGCAGTCCCTTCTGGGGTGTTCCTTGGGTCTGGTAGGGCAAAAAGGGGTGTCCTGGGCTCCAGCCTGGGATCTCTGGACCCACTCCCTCCAGGTGTCCCAGCTCAAGGGATTGAAACTGGCAGCCTCACCCTCTGACGTGGCTGTAACCTTGGACTCTTTTGGGACTAGGTGGGCGCCTGCCCCCGTGCCTCGCTCGGCCCAGTTTACTAATTAAGTCCTTCCAGGCCCAACAACCTGCCCAGCACGGCCTAGGTCAGCCGGCTGGGTGTGATGTTCTCGGAGACTTTGGATCCGGAAGGCTCCTAAACAAAGAAGGAAACCAAAAGGCGGGAGACGTCTGCCCCCTCCCAGGTGTACACATGGCCCTGCCGCACCTGTTGGGGGCAGGGCTGGGCTGGAACGCCATGCCTCAGTCACCTTTTCGCATCCAAACCTCCCCCTCTCCAGGCCTTTCTGAGATGGTCATGGCTGCCGACCAGTGTGCAGCAGCCAGCCAGGAGTTCTGCACAAGCAGTGGGCTTGGCCAGACCAGTATCCATTTTGCTGTTCTCCTCGTTGGGTTGCATTTGATCACCTGCTAGGCGTGTTTGTCACCTGGAAGGAGGCTTTGTCCGTGTCCTTTGATTCCTCTGTGGCAAAGAAGTAGAAGTAAGCTGAAGACCATTTATTTCATCTTCTTATTTGAAATGCAGCCCTTGGCACCTCAGAATGGTAGGTCCACTCAGCCTTTTATTCGTTTACCAAACAGGTCGGCACGAGAGTGGCAGTACCGGTCGCTGCTCTCCAGCTGCCATCCATCACTGCCTTGTTTTTCAATTGTCACCACTCCACCGCTTCGTTTGCCATGTTCCCCAGCACCTCTGGTCACAGAAAGGAGACGCAGAGGTGCCCTTAATTCCCAGCCGTTTCTTTAGTTGGGTGTTTTCTTGGAGAGCAAGAGGGAGCCACCTTCTTCTGAGTACCTACTGTGTGTCAAGGGGGAGCTCAGAGCATGTGGTCCCTACTTGAGAATTCAAACCCATGCCCTCCAGAGAAGCGGCAAGTCCCGCGGTGCTCATCTGTGTGTGCACGGGTGCTAATTTCCCTTTTCATCCCATCCACCATTGTGTGGTATGCCCATCGGTCCTGACTTCGATGCTTTTACTGGCTACTTGGAAAACCAAAGACATTTTTTCTTCTAAGGCCATTGGGCCTAAAAAGATTTTGGAGAATTTATCCAGATTGTTTCTCAGAGAACTTGTCTGAATAGAGGTGGTGAAATGGGGGAGGGGCAGAAACAGAAGGAGAGGGAAAAAAAATTCCAAAGCGTCTGCAGGGAGCACACATTTGTCAAGCTGTTGCGGGCATAAATAAGTACATCTGAAGCAGGTTTAAGTTTCTATGCTGTCCTCTGCTGGGCGCAGCCGAGATGCCTCCTGGCTCCACGCAGCATCCCAGTCCAGGTGGAAGTCCAGGTTGATCTCGGAGACATTGCGGGTTTGGGTCCAGCCCACTGCGATAAATCAGATATTTGCCATCAAGCAAGGCACACAGATTTTTTTTGTTTCCCAGTGTAGAGAAAAGTAATGTTGGCCCCACATCACAGTATGCAATAAATAGCATGATGAACAAGTTTGACATATTGTGAGAGTGACCAGAATGTGACCCAGAGACCAAGAGTGGGCACATACTGTTGAGAAGATGGCGCCTGTAGACTTGCTTGACGTAGGGTCGCCACAAACCTTCCATTAATGGAAAAACGCAATACCTTTGGAATGCAATGAAGCAAGCGCCGTAAAACAAGGTATGCCTGTGTTCAGCCGTGCTCTTCCTCCCTTTAGCCCTTCTTCCCAGGCCATTCAATGGAAGGGGTGCCTCGGGGCTGCCTCTGGGACTGGCTCTGCTCCTGGGTGCTGGCCAGGAGAGGGCATTTCTGGGGGACCGTCTCTGGTCTCCACACCAACCTCAGCGAAGGTCCAATCAGGGTCTCAGCTCTTTCTAAGGGAAACCCACTTGATACTTGTCAGAATGGACATTTGAGATGGTCGAGGTAGGCCTCTGATTAAGAGATTAAATGAGGCAGCCTGTCATGGGGTGGCCACACCGGGGCCGGGGAAGAAGTCTGCTTTGCTGTCATTAGAGTGGAGAATGGATTCTGAGGCTTTGTCTTCCTGACCGTGTGACTTTCAGCATGTTGCTTTCGCTCTCTGGACCCAGTTGTCCAATGGGAGGGACAGCCAGCACATAGTGGGGCTTCTCCAAGAGGTGTGTTTGCCTCACAGCCCTGAAAGAACTTCGTGTGATTTTTTTTTGCACACAGAAGGAGTCTCCCGCCTCGTGAGATGTGCAGTAGTGCATTGGGAAAGGTAGAGGTATTTAGCAGCTCTGGTATGTTGGATGGTAACGGGAGTA